ACATCAAAATCATCCAGGCGTCCCCTGGGCAACGTCCTTGCAGACAGCCAATTCTTTCACACCAGGAGTCACTCCTGACACGACAAAAAAAAAAGGGGGGGGGGGAAGGAGGACCATGACCCAAAATATGTATCACATCTAAACAGCTGAAGACAGTGTCCCAGGTTAGATGACATTGGTCAACAATATTAATATGTTATTGTGGCATATTAGGTGTATTGTATGTTCTAGACTGGGATATGTGCAGGTTAGATGACATTGGTGGTCCTCCTTGATATTGGTGAACTGCAGTTCAACAATATCAGGAGGACCATGACCCAAAATATGTATCACATCCAAACAGCTGAAGACAGTGTCCCGGGTTACAAGACATGGGTGTTCCTCCTTGATATTGTTGAACTGCAGTTCTACAATATCAAGAGGACCATGACCCAAAACATGTATCACATCTAAACAGCTGAAAACAGTGTCCCAGGTTAGATGGCATTGGTGGTCCTCCTTGATACTGGTGAACTGCAGTTCAACAATATCAGGAGGACCATGACCCAAAATATGTATCGCATCCAAACAGCTGAAGACAGTGTCCCAGGTTAGATGACATTGGTGGTCCTCCTTGATATTGGTGAACTGCAGTTCGACAATATCAGGAGGACCATGACCCAAAATATGTATCACATACAAACAGCTGAAGACAGTGTTCCAGGTTAGATATCATTGGTGGTCCTTCTTGATACTAGTGAACTGCAGTTCAACAATATCAAGAGGACCATGACCCAAAATATGTATCACATCCAAACAGCTGAAGACATTGTCCCAGGTTAGATGACATTGGTGGTCCTTCTTGATACTGGTGAACTGCAGTTCAACAATATCAGGAGGACCATGACCCAAAATATGTATGGCATCCAAACAGCTGAAGACAGTGTCCCAGGTTAGATGACATTGGTAATTCAATAATATCAAGAGGACCATGACCCCTTTCTGATTCCAAGCCCAGAGTATAGTTTCATTGCTTTTTAATGTTCATTAAAGGAGCAGGGCCTTCTCGGTGGTGGCCTCTCGCCTGTGGAATTCACTCTCTGGGGAAATTAGGTCATTGACACCCCTCCTCTCTTTTAGAAGGAAACTGAAAACATGGATATAGGACCAGGCCTTTGGGTAATCTGGCAGATAGACAAAGGACAACGACGACTAGAATTGATAGAATTTGACATTGTGGAATGAACTTACAGATTCTGAGCTGGTGAACGTTGAGCATTAGATTGGTTTTTTTGATTGTGATGTATAATTGATTGTTTTAATTGTTTTATAATTGCTGTTTATATATGTTTTATCTTATTTGTTGTGTTGGCATCAAATTGTGCCTTTTGTAAGCTGCCCTGAGTCTCCCTTCGGGGGTTGAGAAGGGCGGGGTAGAAATGCGCGAAATAAATAAATAAAATAAAATTTGCTATGCATTGTTCAGGAAACATTTTGAGCCACCAAGCAAGCTGAATACAAAGCTTATGGGAGAAACAGCATGCCAAAAGATAGATGTGGTTGTTTTAGCTTGGCAAGAAGTTGATGCTGGAAAGGATTTGGTTGTTGTGCCTCATGGAATTGACCATTCCCATTTTCTGGGTTGGCGTTGTGGGAAGCTCAGTGTTACTTGACTACATGTTGACCTGTGTTGTAATGTTGTCTTGTAAAAAATAACGGTTTGGTGGAGAAGAATTTCTGAATAAGAGATAAAGAAACCAATAGAGAGCAGCTCAAATCCAGGCTATATCTGCATAAGTTGACATCTCTGAATACATGGAGTGGATATTGTTTTTCTTCTGGCCTTTTTTTTAAATCTTGAAAACTTCTTTCTCACAGAGAATGAGCTATTTTCATCCTCATGACTAAAATGCAGGTGTAATATTTCTTGACCCTCTCTCCGCCAGCCAAAAATATATATTTTGTATTCTCCCTAGAGCCTTGAAAAGTTGTGAGGTTTTTTGCATTCTTGTTTGCAGCATCTTTCATCCAAGTTGGCCAATCGGCCATGATGCCCAAGGATTCTGGAAACTATAGTACAAAAAATAACTCCCCCAAACTCTGTTCCCACTCTACAAGGATTCGAGCACATCTTTCTCTTCAGGGCTCAAAGCCAGGCGTAAGGCGGCTAGCACTAGATATCTTATAACTCCTAGGGCCTGCCAGTCTGGCTCCAGTTTTTATCAAGCAACTACTATCACTCGTTGCTAAGCTGTTGGAACATATGATCAGCATCCACACCATGCAGCTGTAATACATTTGGGAGTAGAGATACTACTGAGTGGCTGTTTTAGAATATTCATGATGTTTTATGGCTCAATGATTGTGAGAACAGTCCTATAGGGTAGCATTCCAATATTGCTGATGAGGCGAGAAGCCAAAAGATCTTTCCTGAGACTCTCTGCTGTGGTTCATGACTGAATCATGAACTCCTGGATTCAGTCCCTTAGCCACAGTAGCTGCCACTTGTAACCAGTGAGATGTACTTCTAAGTAGGCATGCATAAAACTAAACTCCAGACAACACTTTTTCATTTGCTAGTTTTGTAGGAGACCACACTATTGCTTACTTGTTTTCCTTGTTTAACATCTCTACTGCTCAAGTAGAAGAAATTCCAGACTGAATTGTCTTTGTCACAAAAATAGCGGTTTATTAGACTGGAACTGAGCAGGGAGTTGGGTGCAACTATTCTACTTAACCCACCATCAATTTTCCAGGCTATCACTGCCAATATGACAGCGTTTCTCAACCTGGGGGTCAGGACCCCTGGGGGGGTTGCGGGGGGATGTCAGAGGGGTCACCAAAGACCATCAGAAAACACAGTATTTTCTGTTGGTCATGGGGGTTCTGTGTGGGAAGTTTGGCCCAATTCTCTCATTGGTGGGGTTCAAAATGCTCTTTGATTGTAGGTGAACTATAAATCCCAACAACTACAACTCCCAAATGTTAAGGTCTATTTCCCCCCAAACTCCACCAGTGTTCACATTTGGGCAAATTGAGTATTTGTGCCAAGTTTGGTCCAGATCCATCATTGAGCCCATCGTGCTCTCTGGATGTAGGTGAATTACAATTCTAAAACTTAAAGTAAATGCCCACCAAACCCTTCCATTATTTTTTCTTGGTCATGGGAGTTCTGTGTGCCAAGTTTGGTTCAATTCCATCATTGGTAGAGTTTAGAATACTCTTTGATTGTAGGGTGAACTATAAATCCCAGCAACTATAACTCCCAAATGACAAAAATCAATTCCGCCCCCCCCTTCCCCCAACCCCACCGGTATTCAAATTTGAGCATATGGGGTATATGTGCCAAATTTGGTCCGGTGAATGAAAATACATCCTGCATATCAGAGATTTACATGACGATTCATAACAGTAGTTACAGTTATGAAGTAACAACAAACATAATGTTATGGTTGGGGGTCAAAATGAGGAACTGTATTAAGGGGTCGTGGCATTAGGAAGGTTGAGAAACATTGCAATATGAGGAGATTGGGAATGGAGGAAGAAAGGGTGAAAGGCATGTGCTCATCTTCCTTCCTACTTCAAGCAAGGCTTTATTTATTTATTTATTTATTTATAGTATTTATATTCTGCCCTTTCCACCCCGCAGGGGACTCAGGGCGGATTACAATGCACATATACATGGCAAACATTCAGTGCCATTAGACATACAACATATATAGACAGACACAGAGGTAATTTAACATTCCAGCTTTCCGGCTTCATGAGGGTATGCTCAATTCCAGCCACAGGGGGAGCTGCCACTTCACCGTCCACTTGTGACACCGAGTCCTTCATGGAGTACTTCCTCATTCTTACGCATGCTGCTGGAAGGTTTTATGGCATCGTAAATTAGTTAAATTAGCCTCCCCACATAAAGCAGCACCCAGGCATGTAGCCAGTGGGGGGGGGGCTCGGGGGGGCTTTAGCCCCCCCCCCCAAATTTTCATGGTGGTCCGCGAGAAGGCCTTACTGGTACATTATTTAAGCTGTTACGTTTATTCATATCATGATCTGATCACCATGCTCAATATATCCCATATGCAATGGGGGTATTGGGGTAACGATACAAAAGGTTTGCTAGGGCAGACCCTCTTTCACTCAGACTCAGCCCCCCCCCCCCCGAAACGAAATCCTGGCTACGGGCCTGGCAGCACCTACATTTCCTACTTGACAGATGACTGCTGACTGTTTGTTGTCTGTTTATATACTGCTTTTATATTGTTCACATGGTTTTATACTGTTTATACTGCTTATATTGCTGTTTTATTATATTGTTGTTAAATTGTATATTCATGTTTCAATGTGGGCGCCGTGGGCGCCTATTTGTTAGCCGTCCTGAGTCCCTCTGCGGAGGTTGAGATAGGACGGGCTATAAAAGCCCTAAATAAATAAATAAACTGTCTTAAGGGCTGCATAGGTCAATAGCAAGCTAGACTATTAATGGTCAGGAGCTCACTCTGACCCGGGCTAGCTTCGAACTCATGACCTCTCGGTCGGTAGTGATTTAACGCAGCTGGCTACTAGCTAGCTGTGCCACAGCCCAGTGGCCATGAAACCAATAATCCAACCCAAGGTGAGCTACCTAGAGTCCATTGGCTATTTTGTTTCCAGTGTCCCCCTCTATCTAAATGTCATGTTCAAATTGTTGGGCAAGTGGACTTATTAACAAACATACAGGGCCCACTTCAGATATCTACTCCTAAACGTACAGCAGAGTAGATATCTGAAGTGGCCCTGGTTTGATCGAATCCAGAGGAGGATCGAAAAGTACCAAATGTGAAGCCACAAATAAGTACCATGTTTATTGTTCAGGTTATGCAAAGAAATGTGCAGCTTGGTGAGAGTTTCAAAACTCATAATTGAAATGTTTTTGGTGCCCTGACCGCTCTTAAATAACAAAAGCTGATGTTCTGATGCTTTCCTTCTGAAAACTTTTATAGCTAATCCGTTCCCTCACAATTCTCCTCTGTCTATTTCAGGAATTGAGTATGGAGATGTGCTTCCGGATTCTTTCCCTTCAGCCCCTGCAGAGAGCCTTCCTCATTTCCTCCTGGAGCCACAAGATGCCTACATTGTGAAGAACAAACCAGTGGAGCTAATCTGCAGAGCCAATCCAGCCACTCAGATCTACTTCAAGTGCAACGGAGAGTGGGTGAATCAGAATGATCATCTCACCAAGGAGAGTGTGGATGAGGTCACTGGTGAGAAATTTTATTTATTTTATTTATTTATGACATTTATATGCCGCCCTTCTTACCCTGAAGGGGACTCAGAGTGGCTTACAAGTAAAAAATAAATACAATATATTATATTATTACCAAAACACAATATTAATATTATATAGTACATTGTACTATAACCTTATACTGTAATATTATTAGTAATATTATATTTAATATAAAATATATAATTATAATATCATGTTATTATTAGTGGTAGTATATTGTGTTACGTTATAATATCATCAGAAGCCCCTGAGAATTAAACTATCTCTTATGTCTTCTCGAGTTTTCCTCTCTCTAAGGGCCCTTCCATGCAGCCATATAAACCAGAATATCAAGGCAGAATAACCCACAATGTCTCCTTTTAACTGGGATATTTGGCAGTGTGGACTCATATAACCCAGTTCAAAGCAAATATTGTGGGTTATTCTGCCTTGACATTCTGAGTTATAAGGCTGTATGGAAAGACCCTAGGTAAGTTGGTTTGCAAGTTTAACTTTTGTGCATTTGATTATATGTGAATTTGATTAATATACTCTCTCTAGGAGTCTATTAGGCTTGTTTGATCCAAAAAAAATGGCTCAAAACTTGTTGAAACTTCCAAGACTTCCGAATCCTTCCTTAATGGTTTGAAAGTGTTATTTCCTGTTTCATTGGGTGGTCTTTATTTTGAAAGTAGTTGTTTTACTTCAGAAAGGTTTTGGTGTTTTGGTGTTTCGATTCGGAAGTCAATTTCCAATTTTCACAGGAAAAAATGTTCAAAACTTTTTGAAACTTCCAAGACTTCCGAATCTTTCCTTAATGGTTTGAAAGTGTTATTTCCTATTTCATTGGGTGGTCTTTATTTTGAAAGCTGCACGGCTTCTTGTGGGAATTCCGATGAGATGCCACATAACACCAATCTTAGTACAGCTGCATTGGTTATCAGTTGAGCACCGGATCACTTTCAAAGTGATGGTACTCACCTTTAAGGCCTTGCATGGTCTGGGGCCAATGTATCTGAGGGACCGCCTCATCCCCTACCAACCCCAGAGATCCCTCCGTTCTGAGGACCAAGATCTATTGGAAATTCCCAGTGTCAAGACCTTGCGTCTAACAGCAACCAGACACAGAGCCTTTACAGCAGTGGCACTATCATTCTGGAATACTCTGCCACCTGAAGTCCGTGCCTTGCAGGACTTACCAGCTTTCCGCAGGGCATGTAAGACATACCTGTTTCGACAGGCTTTTAATGTTTGATAATGCTGTTTTTAAATTGTTTTAAATTGCTTTTAAATTTTGTTAGATTTTAGCCATTTTTGTAAGCCGCTCTGAGCCCCAGGGGAGTGGCGGCATATAAGTTCAAATAATAAATAATAATAATAAATAAATAAATAGTTGTTTTATTCCAGAAAGGTGGGGGAGCAAAGGGAAGAAAACCATCCAGTCTGGTTTAAAATGCTTCCAGGCTCGAGACCAGAAGCGAGGGGAGAGGAAAGGAGGAAATCCATCCAGTCTGGTTTAAAACACTTCCCAGGCTTGAGACCAGAAGCGAGGGGAGAGGAAAGGCAGGAAATTCATCTAGTTTGTTTTAAAATGCTTTTCAGGCTTGAGACCAGAAGCGAGGGGAGAGGAAAGGCAGGAAATCCATCCAGTCTGGTTTAAAATGCTTCCCAGGCTTGAGACCAGAAGCGAGGGGAGAGGAAAGGCAGGAAATCATCCAGTCTGGTTTAAAATGCTTCCCAGGCTTGAGACCAGAAGCGAGGGGAGAGGAAAGGCAGGAAATCCATCCAGTCTGGTTTAAAATGCTTCCCAGGCTTGAGACCAGAAGCGAGGGGAGAGGAAAGGCAGGAAATCTATCCAGTCTGGTTTAAAACACTTCCTAGGCTTGAGACCAGAAGTGAGGGGAGAGGATAGGCAGGAAATTCATCCAGTTTGTTTTAAAATGCTTCCCAGGCTTGAGACCAGAAGTGAGGGGAGAGGAAAGGCAGGAAATCCATCCAGTCTGGTTTAAAATGCTTCCCAGGCTTGAGACCAGAAGCGAGGGGAGAGGAAAGGCAGGAAATCTATCCAGTCTGGTTTAAAACACTTCCTAGGCTTGAGACCAGAAGTGAGGGGAGAGGATAGGCAGGAAATTCATCCAGTTTGTTTTAAAATGCTTCCCAGGCTTGAGACCAGAAGTGAGGGGAGAGGAAAGGCAGGAAATCCATCCAGTCTGGTTTAAAACGCTTCCCAGGCTTGAGACCAGAAGCGAGGGGAGATGATAGGCAGGAAAGTTTGTTTTAAAATGCTTTCCAGGCTCGAGACCAGACACCTCCAAGGTCATATAGCCGGCATGACTGTATAGAGCACTGTTACCTTCCTGCTTGATCAGTACCTATTGATCTCAAATTTGCATGTTTTTGAACTGCTAGGTTGGCAGAAGCTGGGCCTAAAAGCAGGAGCTCACGCCACTCCCCGGATTCAAACCTGCAAAACAAAACACAAAAAAACTAGAGTTGAGAGGCACATTTTGCAGTCTAGTTCATCCTAAACTGTATATGGCACACACACCTCAAACTCTACTGGGAATTTTCTGCCATCCATTGACATGAGTTGGCAGGCAGATAGAAGTAGAGAATGTTCCATTAAGGAAGAGCGATTGCAACCTAATGCAGAACGGGTCACTAGCTAGAAATAGAAGGATGTGTTTGGTCTTCATGTATGTCAGGTCCAGATATTAATCTGCAGTTTTTTAAACAAGAAAAATTAATTTCCACAAGTAAATGTGAACCACCTAACAGTAATTTACAAAAATATAATTAAAGGTTATAACATTTACTCTGCACATTGGGTAGTTATTTCTATTATATGTTTATCTAATCTCCATCATAGCAATACAGGGAAGTATTAATGGCCCTGTGCAATTCTATTATACATCAGAGCTGCTTTAATCACCTAAATCTTTCCAAAAAGAAGAATGACGAGCAGGCAGACAGAATGTGGTGGACCCTTTATTACGAAGATGGACGTGGCAATCACGTGACCAAAAACCATCACTGCATTACCTTTAATTTTTTGGCTGTAGTGTATTAACTTTTCTATTAATTTGTCTGAAATTGCTATATCCACAGTCCCCAAAAAAGGCTGTACTGACAGTTGATTAAAAAAAATAATCTGTATTTCTTCTATTTAAAAGTCATTTTTATTTGCATTTTGGTCCATTATTTGAAGTGCATCACAAGAGAAAAGCAACACAACATCTGGATATGTACAAATGCAGTCCAGATTCTTGGTTATTTGGCTAACATGTAGTATTTAGAACTGCGTGTTGCTCTTAAAGAAGGGTGGGCATCTGTAATGGGGATGTGACTATTTTCTGCCTTTCTAACAGGCTACTTTATTGCTTCCAACATGTCATCATGATACTTCTAGTTTTGCTTCAAGTTAATTTTGGCTGATTTTTTTTTCTTTTTTTAAAAAATGGGCCTGGCCCCATGTAAGCCACCTCAAATCCTTCTGGGGAGATGGAGGTGGGGTATAAAAATAAAGCTATTATTATTATTATTATTATTATTATTATTATTATTATTATTATTATTAGAAAGACAACAAGATGAGTCCACAGCACACACTCTGCTGGCTGTTGTATTGGATTACATGTCGGACATTTCCCTAGTATCTAGGACTGTGTGATGTATCGATGAATAATGCGTGCAGATCCCAGTAAGGTGGCCTTCTGCAGCTGGCAGATGGTAATTTTGTCAGTGCTGATTGTGTTTAAGTGCAGGCCAAGGTCTTTAGGCACTGCACCCAGTGTGCCGATCACCACTGGGACCACCTTGACTGGCTTGTGCCAGACTCTGCAGTATACTTATACATTATTATTATTATTATTATTATTATTATTATTATTATTATTACACAACATGATGAGTCCACAGCAGACAAAATCACTCTGCTGGCTGTTGTATTGGATCACATGTCGGACACTTCCCTAGTGTCTAGGACTATATGATGTATCGGTGAATAATGTGTGCAGATCCCAGCAAGGTGGCGTTCTGCAGCTGGCAGATGGTAATTTTGTCAGTGCCGATTGTGTTTAAGTGCAGGCCAAGGTCTTTAGGCACTCCACCCAGTGTGCTGATCACCACTGGGACCACCTTGACTGGCTTGTGCCAGACTCTGCAGTATACTTATACTTATACTTATTATTATTATTATTATTATTATTATTATTATTATTATTATTATTAGAAACACAACAAGATGAGTCCACAGCAGACACTCAGCTGGCTGTTGTATTGAATCACATGTCAGACATTTCCCTAGTGTCTAGGACTGTGTGATGTATCGGTGAATAATGTGTGCAGATCCCAGTAAGGTGGCCTTCTGCAGCTGGCAGATGGTAATTTTGTCAGTGCCAATTGTGTTTTAAGTGCAGGCCAAGGTCTTTAGGCACTGCACCCAGTGTGCCGATCACCACTGGGACCACCTTGACTGGCTTGTGCCAGACTCTGCAGTATACTTATACATTATTATTATTATTATTATTATTATTATTATTATTATTATTATTAGAAACACAACATGATGAGTCCACAGCAGACAAAATCACTCTGGCTGTTGTATTGGATCACACATTGGACACTTCCCAAGTGTCGAGGACGATATGATGTATCGGCGAATAATGCATGCAGATCCCAGTAAGGTGGCCTTCTGCAGATGGCAGATGGTAATTTTGTCAATGCCGATTGTGTTTAAGTGCAGTCCAAGGTCTTTAGGCACTGCACCCAGTGTGCCGATCACCACTGGGACCATCTTGACTGTTTTGTGCCAGAGCCTTTACAGCTTGATCTTTAAATCCTCATATCGTGTCATCTTTTCCAGTTGTTTCTCTTCAATCCTGCTGTCGCCTGGGATTGCAACATCGACAATCCATACTTTGTTTTTTAACACAATCGTGAGGTCAGGAGTATTGTGCTCCAAAACTCTGTCTGTCTCAATCCGGAAGTCCCAGA